CAGGGAGTAATCTCGTTGACTTAGAATATGCAGGTGATGTAGTCCTCCCTCTTAGCTGAAGACGCTGAAAAAATACAGTCTTCTTAACACCTTGAGCTGAGCTGCAATCTGTGAATGTTTGGCATGCGATTTGCTGATGATGATGTTACATTGACTCCTAGCTTAGAAAAAGGGAGTGAAGTGGTAGAGCATGTTGATCACTTCACTTATTTGGGAAGTTGCATCAGCCAATGCCATCGGGTTGATCGCTGACGAAATCTCAGCACGGATACAGAGGGCTAGTTTCGCATATGCTAGTTTACACCGTCTCTGGCGTAGACGTGATATCCGGCTGGCTATCAATCAAAGGATGTGTGTACTGCTCAGCAATCCTCTACATCCTCCTTTATGACTGTGAGACCTAGCCGGTGAAAGTGGAAAACATGAAAAGGCTGGCTAGCTGTCGTTGATCATAGGTGCCTCAGTTCTATCTTCCGTGTTAGGTCTGTCTGTCTGTCTCTGTTTGGATTCAACATAGAACTTGGCACCGAAGTGCACCAGTTCGAGTTGCCACGTTCCAAATAGCACACAAAGGTAGACAAGAAAATGAGTGAAGAAAATCAATAGAGTTTTGACAAGTATAAGAGTGAAACAGAATGAGTAATGGTAGAAAGGAACATGAAGGTTAAAGAGACTGAATACATCTGCGTAAGCCATTGACAACGATTTTGAGCCATGTCACCTATTGTCTCCAGCCATTGATTCTTAGAGTCCCGAGGGCGGGCCCCAACCCGGAAGTCTGCATCTCCCTTCCTACCTGACTCAGTTTAACTGTCAAGGATTTCATGGATTGATGCCATGTTTTTGTTTGGCCACCACTTACCCTTTTCCAACCTGCACCTATATCAGCTAGTAATGCCCGTCGGGGGAGACGATGGTTAGGCATGCGCAGCACGTGGCCTAACCATCTCAATCTATGTAACTTCATAGCCTCTTCGATTGATTTTCCCCCTTTGCCCAACACTCTACGCCTAACGTCAACATTACTTAACTGATTATACCACCTAACATGAGAAAGAGATCGTAAACATCTGTGGTCAAAAACAGACAATCTCTTCATGTCTTCCGCTCTCAATGGCCACGTCTCACCGCCATAGAGAAGGACGGGGCGAACTGCTGAGCAGTATACACGTCCCTTGGTTGACAGCCGGATGTCACGCCTACGCCAGAGACGGTGTAAGTTAGCGAAAGCAGCCCGAGCTTTCTGGATCCGTGCTGTGATTTCGTCACCAATCAATCCGTTGGTGCTGATACAACTTCCCAAATAGGTGAAGTGGTCAACATGTTCTATCACTTCACTCCCTATCACTAAGCTAGGAGTTGACGTAGTCCAGTCCTGTAGCAGCATCTTACATTTTACAGGGGCGAATCGCATGCCAAACATACGAAGATTGCTGCTCAAGGTGTTCAGAAGACTCTGCATTTTGTCAGCGTCCTCTCCTAACAGGACTATGTCGTCTGCGTATTCTAAGTCTATAAGACTATTCCCTGGTAACAGGTCGATTCCTAAGTCGTTAAGTTCAGTTAAGGATACTTCCATTAGCATATCTATGATGAAGTTAAACAGAAAAGGGGAAAGTGGACATCCCTGACGGACACCACTGGTTGTTATCAATTCAGATGACAATCCCCCATAAGCCCTTACACAGCTACGTGAGTTTGAGTAGAGTGCCTTGATTAGTGTGAGGCCTCAATGGGATGCTAAGTAACGAGGGGAAACCAATGGACGAGGCTGTGAAGTTACATCGATTGAGATGATTAGGACATGTGTTACGCATGCCTAGCCTAGGCATCGCCTTCCTCGACGGGCAATGTTAGCTGATATAGGACCCCTCAGATTGGCAAAGAGCCAATGGTGATCAAACCAAAACATGACTTCATCAGTCAATGAAATCCACAACAGTTAATTTAAACCAGCCAGTCACGTAGGATGGTGTAGACTTCCTGTCTGATTGGGGTCCTCGGAACGATAAACACCAATGGCAGCTGGGGACAATTGGTGATATGGCTCAAATTCGTTCTCAATGGCTGTTACAGATGCATCGACTCCTTGTGACTCATGATACGCAATGAAACTATATTGTTCTTCGTTATTATTATTAGTAGTTGTATCAGTATTATTATTAGTATTAGTATTATTATCCCTTTGCCATCCTCTGAGTGGAACACAGACCTTCAAGATTTGAGCTTCAAATTTTCCGTGGCCTTGGTGTTATCCTTTTTAATTTAACAGAGTAAGGTTGCTAGCCCCCCCCCACTCACCCTCCAACCTTTCCTACCCTTTACTTGACTTACTACCGGCTACGCGAGGTTGACGCGTGTGTCGACCGGTCATACTGAAAGTAGTAGTTGGCAAGCACACTACCACTTCACCTCCACATGTTTTTTTTTTGATGTGGTTGTGTTCTCTGAGCTGGAAGTTTTCACTGCCCTACTCGACGACATCTTCAGCACATACTTCACTGAAAGCTTCGCAAATAAACCATCCATCCAGCTCAGAGAACACAACCACATCAAAATCATCCACTTGAGCTACAAATCTCGGCTGATGGAGCAAGGTTCATGTGTTAAAAAAACAGGTGATTATAATTAAAAAATTACATCAAGAATGTACTTACTTCAAATCGTCGTATAGCAGACAAAATACTTATGAATAGATCAGCCAATGGACCACAAGGATCAGATTCTAATAGACTATTTTCTAAAATAGATAATGTCAACAGCGATGAAGTTGAACAGGAGGAAGAAGAGGAAGAAGCAGACAAAGTTGTAGAGGTAGATGTTGAGGATGTTACACGTTCAACTGTTGTACTATGGTGTGATGATGATGATGACGATGACTCCAAGGATTTATAATTTGTATGCGGAACAACAAAACCAATGAATGGACCAAAGACATTGAAAAATTCTAACAATTGTATCACTGAGCCAATATCATCCATTGATAATAAAGTAGGGAACTGTGAAATTGAACAACAATAACAAAAAAGAAATCCGGCATAAAAATAAATTGGAGAAAATAACAAAAAATGCATAAAACTCTCTCTCTCTCCCAGTATAAGAAAATGAAATAAAAACAAACAAAAAAAAACAATTTGTTTATTCCATGAATAATCCTCATCCAGAGACATGAATGAAAATAAAAAACATGCAGTTCAGTGGAGAGTCTCTTTTCGGCCGTGGATTCACTCACTTACCTGTACAATCACAATTTGTATATACTCATTTTCGTGTGTGTGTGTGTACATTAGGTTTGTCCGATAAGAATACAAATGAGAAGTTAGGGTTATTGTTGTCAAGACATTTCAAAGATGTGATGAGTAAGAAAACTGTAACCAGGACAGAGGAGGGGGGAAGGAAGATTGATAAAGGGGTAGTGGTGATATGCTGTCAAAAAACATATTTATTAACACCTAAAAGAAGTTGAATAAGTGTAATACAGTTATGTAAGAAGATGAATAGTTTAATGAGTCAGTTGTGCGATTAGGACCCACATCCGGTAATAAAATTCACTCTAGAAATGGAATGCCAATCCCGAATTCCCTCTATTGATGTGCAACTAACAAGAAGATCTGACGGAAGCTTATAAAGGTCATCCTATAGTAAACTGACTTGAAACGGTCAACTAACAAAAGAAAACTGATTAAATCCGTTACCACTCGGATCCAGTGCATCTGTAGTTCCAATGCCTTAGTAGTTCTTCTGAAGGAAACCTTCATCTAAAATGGATAGCCGTCCAGAGGAACGAAACATCACTTGTTTGAAAAAAGATACTTTACATGAGCTTGGATTTTAAGGAGGACGATATCCTCAAGAGAAGAATTTCAGTATCTTTGAAAAGAACATTCTTCACAGCAACACTAAGATTAGTGTTCTCCAGTCGCTCATTGTTCTGCAGAAGCCTTAAGGATAAGATGCCGCATCTGGCCACTTCTATGTGCGTATGTCAGTTCACCTGTTGATGTGCAGTCAGATACACTTGTCGTTCGACGCGCATCCTGTCCAAAAGGGTTCAAGAACAATATGCCGCATGGCTGCAAAAAGATAGTAGTGGCTGTATAAGGAGTGCGATAATCGAACATGTCAACACTGATCAGCCCATCTCAACAAACGCCACCTACTTCAAAGTGATCTACAAAGTGAAGAACAACCTACCAAAGGCAATACGATTTCGTCTCCTTTGTATTGCTGAAGCCTTAGCCATTCGGTTGGAGAAACTGGAGTTATGTATCATCCAACCACTTCTACTATCATGGTAACAAGCGTGCTGAGTTGTACTGATTTAATGTTTGTGTTTTTTTTCTAACTCTTCATAACATTTGTAATTTTTTAGAACTCTTGCGTAATTCCATATTTTCCTTTGTTTCTATGTGCATCCTAATC